GAACGGCTCTGTTTGGCAGTCTCCTGTGGACTCAGACAAACACTGCACCAGCAACTTTGAAGGGTGTTTGGAGGGTGAGACTGCAGCAGCACAAGGCTCGTCATTAAAACTCAGCTGAGGAAGCGGTGACAGGATGTCGCCCTTACATAATGTGGTCTCAATGGCCGTTTCCCCTTTCATATCGATGGGCCAGGAGGCTATATTAAAGACAACGAGGCCTAGGTTCATTCAGCGTTTGACTTTGACCTACATGTTCATGACAGTGTTCAGTTTTATGTTTCTACTTCCATTTTAGTTAACACATTGAGTACAAAGATCAGAAAGATACAGTCAAACTGTTTGTAAAGGAACAAGATTAACACATAATGTATTTTTGAATGTCAGAACTAAGGATTTATGCCTACTTAGGCCAGGCCTGAGAAACAATATGGCTGAATGAGTTGCCATGACACCAAAAAAGCTGTAGTCAGTATTAGTTGTCAATCACATGGTCGTTCAGGCCAATCAAAATAAATGTTAAACATGACAAGAAAAATGATTGGCTCAAGCCAATGAGCTATTTGTAGCATACAGTAGCTCTACCCTTTGTTATGACACTTCATTCTCACAAGGCGGGGGATGGGGTGTGCTGAAGAGGGTGTCTTCCTAACTGCCTGATGGTCCTACCTGAGTGTGCTGAGGGTCTCGTCATAGTTGATGTCTGCAGGGCTGAGGGCAGCTACCATGGCTGTGCGAGAGTTTCCCCCTGAGAGAGAGAGAGGAGAGAAGCACAGCCAGTGAATGGGGCGCTAGGGTGGACTATGCATAGCAACTTAATTTCATATATCTTTCTTTTGTACATCTCTGTCAGTCTAATTTCATTGCCAAGAATAAAAAAGGTTCTGTCTGCACAAATATTAAAGTTTTGATGTATCGAGCTTTAGAATTTCCCATAACTGAGCTATTTTTATATGCAATTTAAACATTCATAAAATAGTAACTGCATATGTGAATTACTATATCATAGTATATATTGGAATACTCATACCAAGGTTCTCTCTCAGGAGCCAGGTTAACACTGAGTCTCTGTATGGTATAAAACTCTCCACTTTCTTCTTCTTCTTGTTCTGCAAGTGAAAGTTCACCAAATGTTACATTTCTCTAATAAAGACTGTCTATGTCAATGTTTGAGAAATAGTGAATTTACATACCTTGTTTGGTCCAGAGTCCTAAAAAAGAAAGGAAGAAAATAAAACAGTCATTTTGGGCTTTGTAAAGTGTCGTGCTCAAATAATTGAGTGTTGATAAAATGCTGAGCATTGTTAAAGAGAGAGAGAAAATGTTCCTCACCACTTCAGCTAAAGCTGAGATGACCTTCCCCAAAGTGGTCAGGGATTTGTTGATATTTGCTCCCTCCTGAAAACGAACAAAAGGATAAACACCATTTTAAGGAAAACTGCCGAACGGCATACGTACAACACTAAGAGTAGCCTTGTCAAGAAAATAACATGTTCCTCAAAACTCGTACACAACTCCCATAATGCATTGTTACAGGAAGACGGGCTCACCTTCAGCCTGGTGCCTTTCGCTCCTGTGGAATCAGCTCTTTCACTCCCAGCCAGGTCCACCAAGCTGATTTTACTGACCTGAGTGGAGCAGTAATGCAAAAATCATAGAGTTAGCCTACGTTACAGCGACTGGCATACACACAGCCACACCCATATGTGCAGGTGAATGTGTGCATACATACGATATAAACCAAAATACAAAACACATTTACAAGAATACATGATAGCAGAAAGTGTGGTGAGTCTGCCAGTGGCGAAAATCCATAAAATGTACAAATGTAAAGCATGGTGACCAGCCAATCAGAATCAACGATTAATCCCCGCTCGCTATAAAGTGACAAAAGCCCTGAAAGATTCATGGGGCCCAATAAAGGATCATCAGTGCCATCGACGGGTTGGGGAGGGGCCCCCGGGGGTCCAGGAAGTGCCCTTGTGAATGCAAACCATGGCATACACAACGTCACTGGCAGTCACTGGGGATTTTGGATGTCTTTCTTGATCAGTAATAAAGGCAGGGGTGTGACTATGCATGGCCGTTAGGGTTTTTCGATCCGGGCCGCCCCACCTTCTCGGAGGTGTTGTCGGTCTCGGCGTCGTGCCTCTTCTGCGTGAAGATGATGTTGAAAACGGCGTGGGAGCGGCTGCTCGTCTCGTTCATGTTGGTGGCCGCCACGGTCCTGGGGGGAGAGGGTGACAGGTCCAGGGATCAAAGGTTAAACCGACACACCCCCAGCATGTGTCAACGGTCAATGACACATATGTCATCATTCCAATAAGGTATTGGAGAAAGAGGGGGTGTGTGAAGATTTAAGCACGTTCCCGTGTCACATAATTGTCTAAATCCGTTCCATTGATCACCACGGATTATATGGTGATTCCTCAGGCCATCCTCACTGAGCTTGTATGGCCGTTAACTTTCCACCAAGACTCAACCAAAGCTCATATCTCAGGGGTAAAACATACCGTACAATATTCTAGCACTGCACTGTGAAATAAGCAATGTCAATTGATCTACAAACATGACAAAATTAAAGTTAAACAGCACTTGTTATTGCAATGGCCAGTTAAATGACAGGTTTCAATTAGCAGTTTACACAGTGAAACAGACTTGGCTAAAGTGGCTACGGTTTTTAAATGTAATTCCACTTCTGGGTTTTTAAGACCGAATTTAACTTTTAACTCCTACCCACGATTCCCTGAGGGTGAGGCCCCGTTACCTGGCTTTGTTCCCAGAGTCCATCAGGTCTTGAATGTCGCTGTAAGAGGTGACGGCCAGCTTGGACAGGTCCTCCACGTAGGGCCCCATTAGGGGGTGCTCCCTAACTCTCAGGTTACCCTTGTTTTTGGGATTCAGCAGATCACGCACTCGCTCGCAGTAGATCTCCATGTAGCTCACCTGGGTATGGTAGAACGGGGATGGGGGTTCATTTTTAAGAGGTGTTTGTATGAGACAGAAGGGCACTATGACATCACTTCCTCATGACAGCCTCGAGCGGAAAAGAGGCTGTGGTGCGCTCACCTCCACGGAGTACGACATGCTGTTGTCGTTGCTGCCGTCATTGATCTTGGTGAAAAGGTCTTCACACATCTGCATGGAGAGCAAGACAGCAGCTTTAGGAAGGGCAGTATTACACCGAAATAAGACCCATCTCGTTTCATCGCTCTCGCACATGCCAAAGGCAACCCTCCAAACACACTGCACACATTCAATTTCGGATTAAAGTGCTTACCACACATTTTGTTTACATATCACATCATAGTCAATCTGACTTACGCTTTCAACCAAAAGGGACTTCCAAAACACCACAAGAAATAAGTCTGTGTTTAAATCATACAAGCTATCTAGTAATGGGTGAATGGGTACCATGACACCAAGAACTGGTAAAGCTACAACTGGCTGTCAATCACTAGTCTGTTCCGACAAATGAAATGGCTGAACCCTTCAGATCAGAGCACAACAATTGGCTCAAATCGATAAATTACCGGTAACATATGGTAGCTCCACCCATCCAATACCTCGTTCCCCTCACCACCCCTACCCCGTCGGACCCAGGCTGTGCTTTACCAGGGGAATGATACCCTGCTGGTCCTTCTCCTGCCTGCCCATCATGGTATAGGACTTGCCAGCCCCCGTCTGGCCATAGGCGAAAATGCACACGTTGTAGCCCTCGAAGGCGTGGAGCAGCATCTCCTCGCCGATGTCTCTGTACACCATCTGCTGGGACGCATAGTTAATATCCTCAGGCTGTGGAGAGAAAGAAGGAGAGAGAGACAGAGAGGGGGAGAATAAATAATCTGTTTTCAAATTATTATTTCATTGTCATTGAGCCATGATTATGAAAATATTCTTGTAGCTATATATGTCATGTACTGCATGTATGTTTCTTCGTGCTGCTGTGGTTCACCTGGCAATGAACTGAACTGAGAGAGAGAGGGATGTACTACAATGGACTGTGAACATCCACCCACAAAGATTTCCACCTCAAATCAAGCTGCAACATAAATCTGGAAGGAGGGGTGATGCTAACCCGCTCAAATTAAATTACATTTGAGTTATGATTTTTAAAAATAACGATTAAAATGAAACAGAGGAAGTATCTCACTGCAACTCTAGAGGCGTGGCAGGGTTAGGTTTGTGAATTCTGAGTGTGGGGAGAGGCGTGGCCTAGTACAGTCAGTCTAGAACACGGACATCTATTTCATATCACGAAGTGCTGCAGAATTTCTTATCAACCAGCAGCCAATTTAGGTCTCAGGAATAAGTTGCGAAGAGTCTGTCTGATCAATGACTTTGGTTCACTGAAGTACTGAAAGACATCTAAAATTAACACGCACCGTGGCCTTCCAGGGCTAGATTCAGACATTCACGGTCTACAGCATCACACAGCGAAGACAAGGCACAAGAGGGCGTGGTCGGAATGACTCACCGTAGTGTGTGACCAGTAAGAGAAATCAAAGTTGAAGCTCTTGTTCTCTTTGGGCGCTTTTGGATTTAGGATGGCTTTTGGGTTAGACACAAAAAAATTGCGCGTTTTGGATTTTACATTCTGGGAGAGAGAGAACTAAGGGGACTACAATCAATCCCACAACACTAATCGCCACCAAACACTGGCGTCTCATCACATTCGGTTTTATTTGCTTAGCTAATATCCAGAGTAATTTCTGACACATTAGTGAAATGTGGTTCCAAGATAAAAAAATAAAAGCAGCCATCAATGGCTCACTGATTTCAACAAAAATTGTGTTTAGCTGTACAGAGAAAAATTTTAAGTTTAAACAAGTCAGAAATAAACAAATCCTTTTCCATCCATCAGCTTCATCCATTTTGGAGTTCATGAAGCTCAACACTCATTCACACAGCTTATTTTTTTCTTTACATAAAACTTGTTGATACACCTTGATATTTACCAACATAAGTCATGCTGGGCACCTTGCTGAGGGTGACAGCAGCAATGCCATGCCTGGGAATTGAACCACCAACCTCTAGGTTGTAAGCCCAGTTCCCTAACCATTATGCTACACTGCTGCCCAGTGACCCCCTCCCCTCACTCCCCCACCTCCACCCCTAACCCACTGATTACCACAAGAGCGCAGCGCTCCTTAGCAATCACCCTCGCCACAGTCATCAGTCACTGGTGAAAGGGGCGTCCACCGCTGGAGGCCAGGGGAAGCCGACACCCTCAAGGAGATCTGACCGTAACAACGTACACCTCGCCTTCGGAATACTCAACAGGGACAACATCAGCGCCCACACAAAGGAAATGTTGCACCATAATAAAGAAAGACTCACAGACCCATTTAAATAATTCACCTGCATGTGTTTTCACTAGTTATGTTATGGTCCTGAAAAATTATTGCAGTGTAATATGGAAATAAGCCACAGAGCAAGACAGAGTGACTGACTTATTCATATGTCCTGTTGTCCCTTTTTGGAGGAACATCAAAATTATTTGTCACTTGTTCTTTTTTCTGTTTGCTTGTTTTAATCTGCGTCAGATATTGTGGAGCTCAGAATGTATTTCGAGCAGAACGGAGAGGTGTCATGTGGCGAGCATTTCGCTCGTGTTGTTTTCGGAGCCTGTTGCTCGTTGGGGAGGGGCAGCACACTGACTCATCCCCCTCCAGAGCAGCGCCCTGATCACACCGCCGACCAGCGCTGGAAAATCGATGCCAGCGTAAACCGAGGAAGCGATTGCTTTCTGAATAAATGGCTGCAACTCAATAGGGAGCAGAGGAAGGGGAGGGGAAGGGAGAGGGGGGTAGGGGGTGGGGGTTGGGTGCAGATGGGTCTTTGTAACGGGGTCAATTGCTCTCTTCATTTCTGAGACATTTGCATTTTGTGTCTTGAGTCTGGGGGAGGAACTGAAATGGTACAATATCGCTGTAGAGGTCTTTGCAAAATGTGAACAGCCACCATGCAAGCAAACAAGCATTTCACCAATGGGAAATGGCCCTCGAAGAAGCCTCCACAAAAACCCAAGGTGACTCTACCTAAGCACCCAAGGGAGAGCAACGGGTGAATGATTGAATACTGTCATAAAGATCGAGCGGGGACGGGGCGGGGGGTTGCTGGCTGGACTATCGCCTCTCCTTCCTCAAGTCTACGGAATCCAGCTTCCCTCGCACTGAGGTTCACGTCAACATTGAGACAGCGCCCAGTTTGACAGGAAAGGTCTAAGCTAATTGGCAGCTGGGCTGGACGACCGACAGCTGAGGCGGCTCTGGCCCCCGGCGGACTGTGAGGAGATGTGACACGACGTGGCACCGACCCACGTGATGGGCCTCTCTGAGACAACAGCCCACGGAGAGGAAATTAAATCAAACGCAACGGCCGACACAGAGAAAGAGCCCTCGGTCCAAACCGACACTGAGCACATCGCCGACAAACTGATACGGCAAAACTCCATCTCCTGCGATTCTGACCGCCACGCCGTACCGAGAACGGATGTGACTGCGATTTGTGATTTGTGAATTCCAGGGCCGTCTGAAAGCATATATCCATAACTGCTTTATGACCTGCGCGGTTTTAATGAAACCTCTCTGCGACTCTTAAATCCCGTTTGTGTCATCGGCTTTCTTGAGCATCCTGGGGCGTGAAGCACATTCGCCGGTGTCGCCCTGTCCCCTCGCTGACAACATTTGCAATTCAGATGCCTTGTCTCTGAATAAACCCTTCTCAGCTCTGTCCTTGCGAGAGCCATAGGTTAGCGCTCCTACTTTGCGTTCCAACGTGCCCTGAATCTCAAGTAAAAAGGCAGAGACCCGGTCCCAATGGTACTTCGCCAGTGATGGGCGAAAGGGTAGCCTCACTCACATCCCTGATGTGGGAGTCCAGTTTCTGAAGAACGTGCTTTGTCACCAAATCAATGGCCAGTTGCTTCTTTTGATGAGTCATGATCTTTAGTAGGAGGGGCTCCAAAGAGGTGGCTTCTCAAGCCAAGACAACCACTGAAATAAATAACTGGCTCAGTCTTGCTGGAACCTGCAAATATATTGTAGGAAACTAGTCAAAGATTAGTATTTTATAGTTTCTCTTAGCTCCAGAAAGTGACTGGATTGCCCTGCATGCTAGGCTAATAACTCTCAGCCATACGCCTGGTGAATTAGACCAGTTCAGAGCTAAATCCTGCCCACTTTCGCGATATTAACATGTTCAAGCCAACCCCATCAAAGGGAGGTCCAGACTGAAAGCTCAAGTTCTACAGGTGGAGGTGAAAAGACCACATGAAAAGACATTTTCCCTCCCAAGGCTATTGATGACAATTGAAGACTTATGTGGCCCCTGATTAACTCAACTGCCATATTTTCACGTTGCTGTAATCTCACAGGTATAATAAAATAAACAATTAAAGGTTTATATCTTTTTTTGCACTGCCTTTTCCCATTGCACAATTAAACTTGGGTTGTGCCTCGTACCTCAGTAAGGTCATCAAATAAACGTGATTACGGTAGATTAATTGCTTTGGCCAAATACCACACTTGCTCCTCTGTCTGGTCATCCAATTGAATGTGATTGTCATACACTTCCTCACACCCCATCCTTGTCCTTACTGTCACCAGGTTGCCACAGCAAAAGAGAAATGAGCTTAAGAATTTGATCTTCCCGAAAAAAATGCCAATATTAAACATGATTAAGAGAAATAGCTTTGGGCTGGAAGGCTGCTATGTGCTGCTAGCGTATCTCCCTTCACTTTGATCTCCCAGGACTGAGTCTCTGCAGGGTTTATCGAGCAGAGGAGCACCCAGTGCATCTTGGGATCAATGGCATGTCATCGGAGACTCAAAGCTAATTCTGCATTGATGAAACTGAAAGACGCGTATGCAACTGCAGACCAAACATTCCAGACTTCTCCATCCCTACTCTTCTAACACAGACACATAGTCTATATTTCTCTTTTCGTCTATTTTATCCTGAAACACATACATTAACAATGATGCATACACACAAAAATACATCATCACGCTTCTACATTTTTCTCTGAGATACACATGCACTCATTCTGTAAATTAATCTCGGTGAGACACCCATGCACACCTACTCCTCAAAGGCGTATACACAAAAACACTAATATGCAAACCTGAAAAGACACACACACACACACACACACACACACACACACACACACACATAGCAGGAGGGGAACATTTAGAGTTTAACAGATTTATGTGGCTCCTCATACATGTGACTGTGAGAGTCATGTGACCAAACGATGACGCAGTCAGTGTAGGACAGGCAGATGAAAAGCTCTCTCTGAAATCAGATCTGTGCTTCAGACAGCGGTGACTCGGGTTTCCCAGGGGACTCTTAATCAATGATCGTTTCCTCCGCTGCGGCCCTGCTGCTGCTCGCTGAAGACTGACAGGCACAAATTAGCACAACATACAATATCTCTCACAGGAACACCGCGGCCTCCGACAAAATGGCAGCTATCAAACGAGTGACAACAAACGTGGAATAACAAACACACTTCACCTTCCTCTTCTAACTCCAACATGTTCACTGTTGTCACATGTATAATTAAACATAATCACATTTTATTAAGCAATAAGAAGGTTTTGGAATAGATTAACATCTGTGCTAGCATTTTGACCCAAAATCTACAATAAGTTATTGTTTTCACCTTCGCAAATACAAATTGGTGAAAACGGCACAAACTTAACTGCGCCTGCTAAACTTGAAAATAACAGGAGAATTTTTTCTTGATTGATTTAAGGACAAATGTTGATTGAATCCAGGCTACTGTCTGTATGGATTTGTGTCAGAATTGTAGGAGTTGCGTTGGTTTTGTTTTCTTATATAAGACAGAAACCGTGCATGCTGCTTCCTGGCTGTCCTGCATAGAAAGGACCACTGTGAGTCACATGACAACACTGTGCCCTCCTCTCAGCCCACAGACAGAACAGGCATAGAATCAAGCCGTAGAGCAAACAGTTATTAAATAGGGATTCAAAACTTAAAACAGAAGGAAAGACTTTAAGAAACAAACACACATGCAGGGTAAAAGCATAAATACGGTGCCCATGAATAGACTTGGACCAAAGCCCATTAAGGACAGCCTGCTGATTGGATAGCCACCTTCCAGAACTTTCCGGTCTCGAGCAGGGGGCTTGTGGGAGAAAAAGAATGTCAATTAACAAGCAGCTCTAAAATGGAGGGCGGCAGCTGTCAGAGCCTACACTTCTGACTGGCAACCCTGCGCTGTTGCCATAGAGTTTTTGGGCTGTTGCCGCAGTGCGCTGTCGCCGCTGTGCTTTTTGCCCCAGTTTTGTCAAAACCCTCCCATCAGTGGAGTGGCATGATCGATCAAGCCTCACCAAAAATGATAACTTGCTGCTGTATTTTTACAGCTTTGCATGGTGCATTGCTTGTGCGACATTACCAAAGAATTAACACCACTTTTTTTTTTGTATATAGCAAACTATATACACTATATAACACATAGATTTCAAATACCAAACACGGTTACTTTTAATTCCCTTCCAATTATATTCACAAGCCTTACTCCCTGCTTCAACCACTGTCAATCCTGGAGAGTGCAAATAGACACATTCTGTCTACCAGAAGAAGTAATTTCAGCCAATATTCCTTTTCACACTGTTATTCAATCAGACATAAGTCAGAGGTAGGATGAGCAGCTTCATGCCACCAGCAGGGGTCACCGTTGAGAGGTATAGCCATCCCTGCTGACTGAATCCCTGCCTAGGGACACAGCAGCCAATAATGTATGACCATGAAATGATCCAGCAATAACATGCTTCATCAGGGTTCTAAATCGATTCAATAGCAACAATTTGATAACAAAAGCGTACAACTACAGCAGACTTTTTTAATAGTATCTTAGCGTGTAATTCTTTATTTTTTCGAGTGGCTGTGGTATAAGCCATATAAACTCTAGGTTGTGCAATTGAATGAAAGTTAATCACTTCAGGCTTCACATTGGAGAAACATCACACCACTCTGTAATGGTTTATTTTGATATTACTGCACATTCCATTGTGGTTTATTCCCTACTTTCTTATTTTAC